TTTTTTTTTTTCCATTTCACGTAAACTTATTCTTCAATTCAGGACACTTTCATCACACAAACAACATTTTCAAACGCCCTAATGATTAACTGGGTGCTGGCGGCAGTTAAAATCCTGTAAAAACCCGATTTGAAGTTCCATTTGATTAATTTTGAATGGCGTTGGGGACTCGTGGCAAGAAAATAAAATACAGTATTAAATATTAAAACAACACATCAATTCCCTCCCCCATGTGCGTCTTTTCCCTTTCCGCATTGTTGAAAACCCAAAGCATTAATTTGTTTTATTGTGGGAAAGTTTGAGTTGAGTTTAATTTTTGTGTACTGTATTTGGATATGGACAAATTAAAACAATTTTAATTCTGAGCACTGGTCAAATTTATTTACAAATAAAAAAAATTTTTTCGTTCTCCTTCTGAGCGCAACAAATGAATTTGGTTTCATTTTCATGTGTCAAGCCAAAATATCCATAGAAAATTAAGACGAAAAATTCGAAAAAAGATGCCAGACTTCAGTGATAAGCTTAGTTTTTTTGAGCGGGTATTTAAAACGCATGCCAATTTGAAATCCTCATATATGTTTAATCAAAACTCGTTAATTCATAAATTTATTTTGTAATAGAGTTTTAAAAACACAAATTAGGAAATTGGAGGAAACATATTGGGGAAATATTTCGAAAATTGATTAATAGAACGTGACTAAAGCATTGGTTCTTGGGTCTGCCTGACCGTCAACGGAATCTTGGTACTTGACTAATGCATCGCAAGACACATATGGCCCTCTTAGGACTGAAAATGAGATCCCTTTTGCCTCCAGGGCATCCACAGTGGTGGACGGAAGTTGGCCAGCTTGGTTGGTCCCATCCAGGGCCTCCATTAAATAATCTCTGGTTCCGAATTCAGCCCCCAGGTGGAGTCTTGGAGCGTGGATACTGTCAGCCAAAGGACTGCCCAGAGCCAAATAACGAGCAATTACCTGTTCATGAATGAATGAATGAATGAATGAATGAGCAGAACACTTTATTTGCCACTTTTCAGCATTCACAAGGCACAACCAAGACTCCTGCATCCAAACCCCCTCCCCACCCAACCCAACTCCCCCCAAAGACATTCAATCACTTCAAAGCATGAAACCAAGGACAAACCAATGACAAAAACAAAAGAGATAACACCTGTTCATTTGAATATTTTAATTCTGGAATGATCTTATGACAATGCTTCAAAACATTAGAAGGGATTGTAAATGCCGTTCAATAGATAAGAGAAGATTTTAGAATTAAATGGAGGAATGTCAATCCATCCGAGTAAGACAGAAGTTTTCTTTTTTTATCCATTTCCCAGATTCTTGCCAAAATCTGGACACGTTTCAAGAAATTTGTTCTTTTGGGCAAGTCTTGAATGAAATCAGGCGACTATTAAAATTTTCACCCCAAATTAAGTCGTAAAAAAAGAAAACTTCTTTCGACCGAATTTTTGACGAAGAAAGGGAATTTTTGGAGGGAACTGGGTCAAATTTTAAATGAGAATGCCCTTCTTGGCTGGTGCATGGGCATTTGCAATCTACCAGCTGAGAGATGAACTGCTATTTTCTAAATACTGCATTATTTAAATCACAAGTTCACACAAATGAGTACTGCTCACTGCCTAAAAGCTTTTTGCAATTTTAGCATCATCCATTTGAATTTCTGCTTTATTTTTCAGCACCCTGATGATCCATTTTGGGTTTTGAGTAAATGAATTTAACATATAAAATATACAGTTTCCGTTCAACTGCACATAAATGCAATTTGCATGAAAATCTGATGATGTTGTAGCAATTCTGGAAATATTCATGAGAACATTCATCTTTTGGCATAATCTAAAACCAAAGAAAATCTTGTGAAAATTTCAAAATTATTTTCAGATGCTCAAAAATATATAAAGGTTAATCTTGTACGGTTTAAATATAACGTATTTGGTCAGAATATTTTTGAACCCGCAAAATCAATCTTTCTTTCTGAACAATAACGAGAATAAGATTGACGAATTGACGAATGATGAATATTCTATAAAAAAAAAAGTCTAGAACCTTTTATTTCACTCAATAACTTCACCGGGGTTCATCGAGGCCTAGGGTTGCATGAATGCTGCCTCATGAAAAGTGAAATATTGCAAAGTTTCAAGGACAAATCAGCAGCACGCAAAAAAGGGAACGGTGACACGGAACATACGACAATGTCACAAAAATAAAATAAAATCCGACGTCATGGCGGAAAATTTTTCCCGAATCATCTTACGCACTTGTGCCAAAATGTCGAACTTGGGTGAGCCAGCAACCAGCCGGGTTTTGCACATGTGTGACGACGAAACCACGACGACGGGTGCCCCGAGTGACAGCGGCCGCTTATTGGGTTCCATGACGTTGGCATTTTTCACGGCGTCCGAGTCGGAACCCGTGTCACTTCCGGCCGGGAAGAAGTTGGCCATGGCGTTGTTCAGGAAGAACCCCTCGGCCTCCACTCGGGCCCCGAAGTAGGAATTGAGCCCGAACACCAGGGACACGTAGAGCTCGTCGTCGTCCATCACTTGGATTTCCGTCCCTGCTGCTTCCGGCATCACATATCTGTGCAAAAAAATGAATATTGTAAAATTGAAACCATCTACACCTCAAACATATGCTGTATGTCAAATGATTTTCAAGTACCTATCTGAATTATCTCATAGAAACAATGCATTAAATAAATATTATGCATTAAATAAAATTAGAAAGGTAGGCTTGAATAAGGTTTCTCAATATGAAACAATCAAAATACAGTAAATTATTTCAGCATTTGAAATTTGTCTAAAAGGTTTGGAGAGCATCCAGATTTTTATTTGTTCATCAGATAATTTAAGCTTCCCTCGTCTTTTTAACATTTCAGATAAAGATAACAAAATTCGTTGCAACTTTTGATAAATTTATCATGCTGCAAAAAATTTCCTGTGGGCTGGTGCCAGTCCACAGACCATGGGTTGGGAAAAACTGGTCTTAATCATGTTAGAAATAAATGAAAATCATTGACAGAAGAGCAAAATTGTATTTTTTGTGTTTTCAATGATGTCCTGGGTTTTTGGATGCCCTCAGAAGCTCTGATATCATGCAGTGAAAAAACATAACGGGGACTCAAAGTAATTTTTGCCAAGGTTACAGGAAAAGCTTTTTGGGAGCATCCTTAGTTATTAGATGATTATAATGATAATCACCTCCCCCCAGAAGTCGCATCCACGGGTTGCAAAGTATGCGACTTCCTCACATGCGCGGCTTGCTGTCCCAGAACGGAAGGACTCAACAACTTCCGGACCCTCTTGTTGACCTGATCTCCGGATCCAAAGTTCGGATCCCCCAGGGCCCCCGACAGCAAAAAGTCAGCCTGAGCTTTCTTGTTGGCCTCCATCAGCAGGTGTTCCGCCTCTGGTTTAGTCAAAGTGGGTGAAACCCTGTTGATGTTATTGTCGCCTTTGGTCCGGGTGACGGGATTGA